TATTTTGTAAGAGAAATAATATCGCAGTACTCCGGTTACAAAAGTAACCGATCTAAATCGATCCTTATCATCAAAGGGTGTAATTTAATAGTACTTTCTCTCCTTTCAAAGTAAAAAGTCGATAATAAGTCCACGTAGAGGCAATTAGGTGGACGTGTTATTTATCAAGATAGTAATAAATAAATGAAAATTTGACCCTTACCATTCTTAATTTCTATTAGAATATTGATTGCGAACACAGAAAATCCATTTGAATTTAAATGCTAATTGTTCTTTTGCAGGATTCTTAAGCACCCTTAAGATTCCAAACTAAATGTTGTTCCTTATTCTTAATTAGCAAGAATTTTGAAGATAAATAAATAAATAAATGGCATAATCATTTACTTATAAATGGCACCTTCCATGAAAAATAATTACTGAGGCTATGAGGCCTGTTCAATGAATGGAGTTTGAATGTAACTCTACATGTACAGCAAAAAAAAGTACTACTTATGCTATGGTTGACAGCACCGAATCGTTATTTTAGATTCGAAAAAATTTAGCACAAAATTTGAACTAAACTTCCTCCAATTTTAAGTTCAATACACTAATTCGATGCTTCCAAATATAACATTAGTGTTTTTTATGCGCGTAGAATTAAAATCCATCACGCAGTAAATATACCCCACCATGAAACTAATTGCAAATCCAAGCATACCAATTGAATGGGATGGGTTGGTTGTGTGAGTTAGTTCTATCTGTTTTGGAAAATGAGTCAAAGTTAGGAAGGTGAACAAACCAGTGCGCCTCCACACTTTTCCTAACCACATCTCATCAAACTCACATTGGTCATATCAAATTTTCAGACTTATGTTCTCTATAAATAACCACTAATTAATGCAAGTAGTTCTTCAACTGTGAACATTCTTCAACAGAAACAACCCTAAAGCATAGTTCATTTATCTCTGAAATTAACGATAACCCAACTCCTTAAACCTTCAGCTAATATCAAACAATGGCCTGTTTCAAGAATTTCTTCGCTCTATCTTTGATCGCGGTACTATCACTTTCAAGCATCCATATGAGCCTGGCAACTCGCCTCCTCTTCCAAACATCTCCAGTTGCAGCACCCACACTGCCTACAATGCCAACAATCCCACCTCTACCTAAAGCTACATTGCCTCCATTGCCTGCCATGCCGACACTGCCTAAGACCACATTGCCACCATTACCAAGTAACGCGCTACCAACACTGCCTAAGACCACATTGCCACCACTACCAAGCGCCGCGCTGCCAACATTGCCAACCATGCCCACAGTTCCAAAGGTGTCACTGCCTCCATTGCCAGCCACTTCATTGCCCACTATTCCGACCATTCCAACCACAATTCCTTCAATCCCAACCATTCCAACAACAATCCCAACAATCCCATTCCTCTCACCACCTCCATCCCACAACTAGCTCTTGAGCTGTAGAGCATGCCAAAAAGTATATTTTCGTAGCCTGAGTGAGTCCATCCATTTATGTTTTTGTAGTTACAAGGTGTGTGAGGTTTCATTTTCATAGGTTTGTGGAGTCATTTTAGTATTACTGTATTCTCTTTAAGAATGTTGTGTAATATTGTTGTTCTGTGTGATATATATGAATGAAATTCATTTTTTTTTTGGTCTTGGTTATTGAACTAATCTCTTTAGAAATATTCATTTCCATTGAAGAATTATCGAGAAAGAAAATGACTGAAGAAAGAAAAAGAAAACGACGGAAGAAATGGACAGATCAACCATGGTACGTACTAAATGGAATATAAATTAGGGTAAATTGCAAGAAATCCCTCTGAATTATGTTAAAATTTGCAAATAACCCTCTTAAAGTATATTTTATACATAATACCTCCTGAACTATCACATTTTATTACAAAATGTCTCCATGTCTAGACTAATTTTCATTCAATGTTCATAATACCCTTTTCTTATTGAATTACAATTAATTTTTTTTTCTTATTAAAACAAGTTATGGAAAAAAATCATACTTATTTGATGACATATTTTTTATTAAATTTGCATAAACCTTTAATTTTTAAAATTAATTGTGTACATAAAAAAATTTAGTAGAAAATTTCAAAACAATTTAAGTAATTTTTTAATTCTCATGAAAATATTGCATGAATAAGAAGGTATTTTTTATTTAAGTAATTTATTAATTTTTCATGAACATATTGTATAAAAATATATATTGTAAAAAAGTTTAAATTGAGTATAATAATTTTAATTATAAATAGTAACATTTTAACAATAAGGCAATTATTTTAGAAAATCGTAGTTACAACTCTATTTAATTTTTCCAATTTTATGATAAATTGATACTAGTAATAAGTCACTGCTTGAGTTTTTTTTGGCAAACGGGCAAGCGCCCCCATTACAATTGGTATCAGAGGCAAAGTTGCGCATGTTCGGGTGGGAGAGAATGTTACAAATGAGATTTGTCCCACATTAGATTTGGATGGGGTAAGCATAAATGGACAAGTGTCTACCCGTTACACTAGCCACAAAGAACATGGGCGTTTACTCACTGGGCCATATCCGAAGTGGATGTCGACTTGAAAGTTACAATAAATTAAATATAGATTTTATTTTTCAGATTTCTCTTCTCGTTGAGCTCACTTTTAACATATGGTCCGTAGGAATTAGTTAAAGTTCTCCGACTTGGACATGAATAAATTCTCACACGTTTCTGATCAAGGGGAATAGTCAAAAAAAAAAAAAAAAAAAAAAAAAAAAAAAAAAACGAAGAAGAAGAAGAAGAAGCAGCATGTGAGATAAAGGTGAACGCATCGCTAGAAGTTCCAGATAATGACTCATAGAGACATTCACAACCAACAGGATGGGGGCATATAGTTTGAGTTTTGATCCCAAAAATTATATATATATATATATTTGAAGCCTCAAAGGTAAGTTCTATTATATATATGCGTGTTTTTGATTTACAAGAGAAATTAAGTATTGAAGATCATCTGAATTGTGTATATTTATCCACATAATATTATTTTATATGCTGCATTTGACAAATTGCAAATTGTTTGTTATCCACGTGTCTTCTGATTTACTTGAGACCTTGGGCAGGGCCCTTTGGACCCACTCCAAGGTAACAAACTGGGGATACTGTAATTGGCCTCATAGTTACAGCACCAGATTAGTCAAGGACCATAATTAAGCTTTAGGAAGTCGAACCCTGGACATGTCCGAACCATTCCTTTTACTCCCTTTACATCACAATAGCAAGTCATGTAATTTAGTTCACTCAAAATCGTTAAATATATATATATATATATATATATATATATATATATATATATATATATATAATAAATTAAAAGCTAAAGGAGAGCATTGGTCCATCTTTCAATGGGGCTTCAAAATCATGCTGGCTTGGCTTTCAAAATAAGTATTGCATGCCAAGAAAGTTAGTGAGAAATTGCATGTAAAATGTCAAAATCATGAAGATTGAGTGTTTTTGCTCATTTATTTGTACATTTTTCTGCACATCCTACATCCTACTTATATGAGAGATTGTGCTAAATAGATGTTAACACCTAAGATATGGGAGGAAATTAATGCATACGTTGTCTTTAAATTCTTTAAATCACAAAGAAGTGAAACCGCCCAATTACAAATTATTATGGTAAGATAATAATCTTTACCATATTATCTCAGAATATACATATATGGAAGGAGATATTTCCAGCTACATGAGAATCTCGTCTAAAAAAATTAAACCTTACTTTCCAATTTTTCCATACTTTAAAGAAATTTAAAGGCAAATTTATAATGCCTATGTATATCCACAAGAAAATATATTCAGATCGGTTGAACATCAACAAAATATTTGGCTTATAAAGAATTTCAGTATATTATTGTGTTTAGTTTTTATTTTAAAATTAATATAAGGTGTTTTAGAAAAATTTCTATAAAACTCAAATTAATAAATAGAGTTTTTTTAATAAAAGTAAATCTAATTAGATAAGAAAATATATAAAAATAAATAAATAATTTAGTGATTCTAATTAGACAAGAAAATATATAAAGTAAATATATAAAAAATATAAATAATTTAGTCTATTTAGTCTCCACATCTTTTCTAATTTTATAAATAATATAAAAATAATTTTCTAATATATAAATAAATAAAATATTATTAATGTAATAAAAAAATAGTCTTGATTTTGATATTGTTTTAGGAGTTTGAATACACCTATCAATAATTGAATTCCTAAAGTTCAATTGAAAATTGTTATTTTTATCTCTTTAAGTGTCAATTTTATGTTCATAGAGATTTTAGAATTTACAATTATTTAATTACTTTGTTGAATATTAATTTTAAATTAAATTTTGGTCACTTGAAACTCTCACACCCTCCCGGGAAAGAAGTGAAGGCTTAAATAATAAATATGATACTTTAGAGCCACCAACTCAAGTTCTTACCAAGCCAAAATTTGCTCTTTTTTTTAGGGTTATATGAACTGTCTATAGTCACCAACTACGTTTTTTTTTATGCAATTAGAATTACAATCCATCACAAGTAAATATACCTTATCTAACCCTTTTTTTTTTTTTTTTTTTTTTTTAATCCTAGCAAAGAGAGGAGGGATTCAACTACGAGTACATCTGTTAAGGAAGTTCGGCGCTCTACCAATTAGGTAACTGATTAATGCCCAATATACTTACCTACCCAACCATGAAACTATCTGCAAATCAAGCTTAAATATTGAAAGCGATGGGTTGTGTGAGCTAGTCCATCTGTTTTGGAAGATGAGTCAAAGTTTGGAAGGTGAACAAACCAGTGTTCCTCCATACCTTTTCTAACCACATCTCATCAAACTCACATTGGTCGTCATATCAAATCTTCAGAGTTTCTCACTAATGTTCTCTATAAATAACCACTAATACAAGTAGTTCTTCAACTTAGAAGAACTTGGAAGTACAATTTTCCCTGAAATTGGAGTAATTTAATTCAGCACCTGTCAATGGCCTCTTTTAAGCATTTCTTGATTTTACCTTTGATTGTGGTGTTGTCACTGTCAAATATCCAAATGGGCGTGGCAGGTCGTCTTCACCTATTGCAAACCTCCCCAACCGCAGCACCTACACTGCCTAACATGCCACCTCTGCCTAAGGCCGTGCTGCCTCCATTGCCGGCCATGCCTAAAACCACATTGCCAAGCACCCAAATTCCATCTCTGCCAAACCCGACATTGCCAACCATGCCTGCCATTCCAAAGGTGACACTACCTCCTCTGCCAGCTACTTCACTGCCCACCATTCCGACCACCATGCCCACAATTCCTCTCCTCTCACCACCCCCATCCGCCAATTAATAGCCTCTGATATGCTACCATTTTCATCACTTGTTAGTTATGGATGTACTCTAGATAAAGTGAGTTGATAGTTGGCTCAAGGAGTGAGAGTTGAGTTGTTATGTACACATCGCTCAGATTTCATTGTTTCTTGAGGTGTTGTTCCTTGTTCGACATGAATTTTATTGGAAAAGTTTTGATCAAATAAACTATTTTTTTATTTTTTTACTTTTTTATTTTTTATTTTTTTCAAGACACCATGCTGTATTTCATAATCGAAATCGAAACGTTTAAAAAAAATAAAAATAAAAAAAGACATAATCCCTTGACAAGTGGGATATTTATATGCTAGTTTTTGGCAAAAATCAATGGTTGAAATAATATCAAGCTACCAACACGCTAATGACTTAGCAATACCAAACCCCTACTGCTCAAAAGAGAAAGTTAGGAGTTCCAGTCTCAATGGAAGCATGTGTTTTTGAATACCAACTTAGAAAAAAAAAAAAAAATAAATAAAGCTTCGACGTCATCATCTGAGCTTAGCTCAATGGGCTTAAACCAAATTGGCCACGAGCCCAATGGCTTAGCTCAATAGGCTAAAAACCAAATTGGCCTCGAGCTCAATGGACCTTGAATTGGAATCAGAACACTAACCCAACACGAATTCACATTTAAAAAAAAAACGAAAATAAAAGAGGAAACGGATATCAGAGCATGAAATATCACACTAGGTAAAAATGATAAAAAATAATAATAATAATAAATTAAAAAAAATAAGCATTTATCAACAATTCCTAAAAATTAACATCCTATTATAATATATGCCAACTCAAACCTCAATAAAATGCTTGAGCTGGTCTTTTTCTGTCAGATCTTCTTAAAAATATGCCATAGTTCATACTGAAAGGTTACCCCAGCCTTGCTGCTCAAACCCCGATTCCCAACTACTTGCTACTTACCACCAAACTGGAAAATTAGGGCTTGTTTGGTTCAGTTTTCTCTCACATAACTGTATATAAAAAAAAATAAATAAATAAAAAAGCCTGCTTGGTTGACAGTTTCTAAAAGCCCAGTTAAAAATGTTTGTTTTCAGATACCTGCCATTTGTCTTTTATAGTTTTCTTAAAACAGATTTCTGTTTTCCAAGTTCTTGAAAACTGTTTTTAGAAAACTGAACCAAACCCTTAACTTATCATAATTTTGAGTTGTGTCAGTGTACAATGGAGACTTTACTTCTCCTTCCAAATGTCTCTGTCGCTGCTACCTTAAGAAGAAAGCGTCCTCCACACCGGTTACCTCTGCAGAATCTGCACTGAAGTTTTGATATCCACAAGGACATACGGATAAATATACACTCTAGTCCAATGAAGGCTCACTAGGGAAGTACCAACTCGGCGACACGTCACCAAAAATGTAGCCAGTGATGTCCTCAGCACTTGTAGAACCCCCGGTGCTCTCTGTACTACAAGAACCAGTATCTGAGCTGCTGAAAATGGAAGAACTATCACTAGATAAATCTACTGTAGGAACTCTACGCATTAAGTGGAATCTCCAATCCTCTGGATCCAGAAACTGATTGCTGGTATGGCCACCTAGAGTCATCCAATAAGGATAATTTTCAAGCCTTGGTTGTAGCATTGAAGAATCCACGGTGTTGGATCTCGCCTTGGAATTATTTTTCTTTCTACTGTTACAAGAAGGAACAGCTTCCAAGTTCCTCTTGATTTTCCCATCTGACAAGACACTGGTGTTCCTAGACAATGATGGGGCCCAAGGAGTGTGCCTAAGAAGTAAATATGCCAAAAAAAATTAAAAATTCATGCCCAAGCAAATCTCGAGTAATCAAAATTTTGAATCAAACTGTAATTCAAGACTTGTTACCTTGCATAGAGGAGCATATACGCCCTTTCTAGTAGAACAGTCTCCAAGTCCACAGGAATTACCTAAACAAAACAATAGAATGCAATTCGATCATCAAGTCCAAAATCCAAACTAAGCCGATTTTACATTAGCTCTCAAGCAGGTTCTACAAATTTTTTTTAACCAATCCAAAGACAAAAGTACAATAATAAATAAAGACAATAGATCATCAAAGTCCGTCTCTTTTGAGATAGTGGTGGTTTATACCTAACAAGTTAATGTAAAGAATATCTAAAACTAAAGGAGGTTCAATGGCCAGAAAATAAAAAATAAAAATAAAAATAAAATAAATCCTCCCTAGACTGAATGAAGCAGAAGAAACAAAATTAGTCGGGCACAAATTATCAGAGAGAAATATTTGTGCATATGTATTTGAGACAAACAGGGAACATACCATGCTATCATCAATTTTGAACCACTCCCCCTGGAAATCCTTTACATAACACACATAGTGACCGGATAATGCAGCATTCATAATATCCAAGTGAACAACCACAGCATAAAGGCTGTATGTAGGATATTTATCACTCGTTTCACTCATATATGGTGCCATATTCAGAACCTCAGGGAAGCAAACCAATTTATTCAGCTTCTCGAAGTTACCAGACTGCAAGTATGGATGGTAGAGGAAGCATTAAAACCAAAAATAAACGAAGAACACAACATCCACCTTATCATCAAAAATTACCTGAAACCGCTTTAGAACAATTGTAAGGATGTTAGGTGCCTCCATTATTGTCAACGTTTTTTTGGCTTTCTCATAAGAACGACATCTGGTTAATAAGGAGTGAGTCAATTTTTCCCACACAGATCCAAAAAATTCGGACGGGCAGGATGGGCCAATTGACTATTCCAAATAAGAAAACAGGAACAATAGAGATACAGCCAGCAGCAGATAAGATGCACACAGGTTTTGCAACTCGCAGGTCAGAGCCAAAGGCACTACATATGTCTCATAAAAATTAAAATGCAATACAACAGAAGGAAAATATCAGTCATTTTAGCATGAAAGCTGCAGTATAGTTGGTTAGCACTCGTATTCTTTCCAGAAGGATCCCAAACATACTATACTGTCTCTACACTGTAATTTCGATTCCTAATGCCTTGTACAAACTATTAGGCTTTGCAATAAAAACTCCTTATAAATCAGATATCAAAGTAGTTTATGTTTTTCTTTTTCTTTTTCTTTTTCTTTTTTTTCTTTTTCCCTCCTTTTTACTGGGTAAGCATGTTTATGGGTACAGCATCAATTATAGAGCTCCTTTGTAACACCCCTATCCATATTAAGGTATCTCTCCAATTGCACAGTAATTTATATAGTAGAATGAGCATAGTAATGTGCACTATGATACTATCAATATAGCGTTCCAACAATATATCAACCATGCAGTTGCTTGATAGATAAAATAGATTGAATGAGAGGAGGGAATATCCTATAAATGATACAGAGACTTGTTTGTTTCAGTTTATAGAATGATTACTTAAGTCTCATGGTGAAAAATCCACAACCCATGAAGTGAAGAAAATTATTACCATCTTGACTATTAGTGCTATTAATTTGACCTGATTATAAATTTAAATGGGTCAATAGAAAAGCTCAACCAATTCACTATGATGCTTGATGAAGAGATTGCTTCAGGTGTGATCTGACAACTGCATCTAAAAGACACTCCAATTGTGAATTGACTTATGCAATACCAATGACAATGATGCTCAAATGAAGCAGTGATACATCCAGAAGTTTCGCCAAGATAAGGCCATAAGGGTGTTTCAATAGTAGAAATGAAAAAGATTAGATATAAAAAGCAAATAAAATGTCAATGTAGAACAAGTGGGTGGAGAAATAAGGAAGTGCTAATCACTTATGAAAAAAAAAAAAAAGGAAGTGCTAATCAAGACTGTTCATGTGTTTAAATGATAGACCTATCCATGAGTGCCAACAAGAAGATGAAAGCTTGTACGAGTTCCCACAATAATATCATGAAAAAAGCCAGAATGGACAAAAATAAGAATAAATAGCATTGGATATTAAATGCTTAGATTGAGGATATGGCAATGTAAGGGCTGCAGTGACTCAGAAGGATTCTTGTTACAAACCCTGGGTGATACAGTTACAAGCAAAATAACAACAATGAGTTTTCTATGAAAAGTTGAGATACAAATTAGCTTTTATGAGGTTTACAATTTCCCCTTGCCGATGGGGAGAATTAACGTTTAATGTGAATTCATAAGTGGAAAATAGATTTTCGAAGAAAGCAATGGAATCTGTGAAGGCTTCTGAAAAGAAATCTTAATCAATGACAAGGAAACAAATGCAGGTTTTAGTTTGAGACTCATGTAAGCTGTGACTGTGAGTGACCCATTCTCCCCTCTCAATAGAGGAGACATACACACACACACACACACATATATATATAGAGAGAGAGAGAAGCAGTATTATTATGGACCTGAGAGGTGTCCGCATTGGCCATTGATTTCAGGAATCACAAAACGAAGAAGGCAACATAATAGTTTCCTTGGCATGTTAAGAAAAAGAATTGTGCAAAGGATCCTGTTAAGGTGTGGTTCATAGCGCATTGGATAAACAAAAAGTAGAGGATGGATATTAAACTCTTCCTAAAAAATTTGAAGCCAATGCATTCAAAAGATCTTCAAAATGTTATCAACCGTGAAACAATAAGGCAAATGAACCAACCTGCTGCACCAGTACTTATTGTCTCCATCCAAGGTTTCAGTAGCAGTGAATTGTGCAAGAGCCTCTTCAAGAGTTTCAATGTCCCCATCTATCTCAACAGTTAGATCCATTATCCGTTCAAACCGTTCAGATTTGCCTAGGCACTTCATGCACTTTATCTAAGATTCTCAATCATAAACTTATCATTAATACAAGTATTCACATAGAGGAATGCCATTATTGACATCTGAACAACTTTTATATTTAAAAAAGATGATCAACTCTATAAAAACGTGAAGACCAATGAATCATTAAAACCAAGAACTACCTTAGACCGAAGGTAACCCCCAAAAGTCAGGCCCACTAGAGTTGACTCTTCTGCCAATGGATCCACCACCCCTGCTTCCTCAAGGCAAACAAGTTGCATTGTATCAACAACACACCTGCCATCTCATTCACTGAATCGTAATAAACATTTGTGAATTGTGAAGATAAAAATAATTACATAAAGCAATAAAAATTCAACCAATCAGCTCTAGAGTACTTTGAACTGCCTCACCTCAAAAATTCATGGGCATCTTCTTCCCTCCCAGGACCAAGATGACTCCCTATCTTCTGTATTTGAGAGATTATCCCAATAGGAGATAGTGGAAACTTCCCTTCCTTCCCCTTCAGTATTAGATGTTCAAATTCACAGATGAAACACCACTCCTTTTGACCTGGTGTAGAAAATGAAAATTGTAACATGAGATGGACATCAGACGCAATCCCAACAACCGAACAAGTTCTGAAAAGGTGAAAGAATCATAAGCAAAAACTTGCATCTTTTTGAGTGGAGTCCTTGAAGAAGATAAGAAGCCAGAGGCCGAGTGAATGTGAGGCATTGAAGCACAGCATTAGCATAACAGCTGCAGAACATTCCAAAAAGGTCACATTATAGATAATACAAATATGTTTCTGTGTTCTTATTATACAGAAAATAAATTAAGAATAGAAATGGATAAATTTCAGCACATACCAAAAACTTTGGAATCACAAAGCAGCAGTAAGATAAAAGAAGATAGGAGGGTAAATTTGGGATAAGTGATGAAAAAGTAATGGATGATCACTTTTTTCAATTCACAGAAGTACTTTCAGTTGAACTTTTATGATAGCCGATACTTAAGATTCTACTAGCATTGGAAAAAAATTGAACCCCTACACCACCACTCATTTTTAGATGTCATACCAAGTTACCAACACTTCTACCACTGTGCTACGACTTAGACTAGCTTCCGTAATTAGGATTCTATACCGAGAATTCACTATCTTAAATACTCAAATTATTTTGGTATTCTATCACAATACAATCAACTATGGAGTCATATAAAACACAAAACTTACAAGTTTCTAACAGCCCAGAGCTAAATTCATGCTTCACAAGTGTGAGCCTCACACAATACATCTATGAGCTAGATTCATTGCAACTATGAGCTTCTAACAGCCTAGATCTAGATTCATGGTTCACAAGTGTGAGCTTCGCATAAAGTAGAAGTTCATTAACTAATCAGGAATATGTGCCAAGGCAAAGGAAAATTTGTGCTATATTTGGAAGAATCTTAGAACCAGAAAAAAATAATAATATTAGTAAAATAAAAAACAGCCAAAGTTATCAGCTATACCTTGATGAAACTACAAGAAGAAATTTTTAAACACAAGCCCTCCTAACCCATTTCAAAATCAACTGTAAGCAGCACATACGCACATGGAACACGTGTAATGTGCATACAGATGAACACTCTCTTACACTAATAGACTCACAAAGTGTATTTGGGTATTATTTAAATTTAAATGCACAAAACAGATAAGAGAGATATGTAGATGCTCTATCCACACTAGGCAAGTTGACAAGAGATAACAATACACAAAAAACAAACATGCGAAGGCATAGAATAGATGGTGAAACAACTAAAAAAGACTATATGAAACACATATACTTGCAAAGTTTGGGGCAAGAGACTTGTGAAATCCTGCAGAAATAGCAAAGTTCTTAGAATTGTCAACTGACTTGAATAGATTGAAGAACATCATCAAGTAACTAACTGGTTGGGAGGCTGTTGAATAAAGAGTTATGTACTCAAAGTCCACGCTATTCCTTTAAATTATCAACATCAGCTCGCTGATCAAAAGTAAATATCTCTGATGTTAAATTCTTATGGAACATATATAATTGTGGCAAGAAACATGTATCATGCATACGGTAAGAGAATTTTTCAACAGGAATGTCCAATGAACAACAAAGCCATTGCCAAATGCAATGTAACAAGGATCATTTTTTTTTTCTTTTGCCATGATTTGGGTGCCCACGGCCCAATGTCAGTTCATACTTTATCTTAAGTTGCCATGATGATGATCTCACAATTATGGCAAACAGCACAACCCTTATAGCCATATACCATATTACATTATCTTGCAGTATTATTTACCTGTAGAGAAACTCTCCTAAGATGTATCACATATCATTGCAGTAATTTATTTTATTCAGAACAAATTAAAAATAACAGAGAGATGAGCTGAAGTGAACTTATTATTTTTTCCTTCTTTCATTTCTTTTCCTGGTTTCTTTCTTTCTTCATTTGTTCTTATAAGTTCAAGAAAAATAGTTAACAGATATATTATATATATACTTCACATGGCACATGGAGAACCAACAGAGTGTGCCCAACGACTACAGACAACATCATCCAAGTTCCAACCAACAATGTTTTTTATTTCAGAGTTCAAAAGATAAGTAAACTAGATTGACAGAAACACTTATTTTACAGAGAAACTACAAAAGATATAACTCCAAAACAGGTGGATAATCAGCTGCTTTGCCTTTCAAGAAGAAGATATATGGACCAGTTCTAACACACGAAAGCAAAATAACCATTTCTGACTTAAATTATTATCTGCAGCCATTATAAGCTTACAAAACTCCATATTACCTGTTCCCACAGTTCACAAGGCCAAAGGGACATAATTCCACCATGTCATGAAAATACAATTGCATGAACAGCTTGTATGGGAAGACTGTCTGTGAAAACGGAAACAGAATGAAATGAAAAGAATATCACAAAGGAAAAATGTAGTACTGAAGGAATAACATGTCATAATTCGTAAAGAAACCTTGCAATTATATTTTTCAGCAACATCCTTCCCAACACCTAACAAGTAGGGCTTTGACTGTTTCGAGGCTCTAAATTGTTGTACAACTTTTTGCACAGATGTTCTCAAACCTTTCTTGGCATTTTGTGACAAGCTTGGAATACTTCCAATTTTAGAAGGCAAAGTATGAACGCTGCCAGATTTTGCAGACTCTGCACTGGAAACTGAATGCCGTCCAGTGGCTGCCAATGGATGATCACTAGAACTACTCACTGACACAGATCTGACTTCTTTACCCTTGAGTGGTTGAGAATCATTTCCCCTATCATTACTCCTAGAATATGACCCTGAGCAGCTTGAGGATGGCATGGTCCTTCGCTTGGGAACATCCTTAACCAAGTCTTCTGATAAAGCAGCTCCATCAATGGTTCTACTTTCTAAGATTGTTGGTTGGACATTATCAGATATAACAGCTTGGGTTTTGGATACTTTCAATCTAGATTGAAACTTTTCATTGCTATAACTGGACTTCATCTTGTTTAATTCACTGGACCAAGACATACGATTTACAGAATCAGCAGTGGACTCTGAGGATGACGAGGTAGGCAGTTCAGCACCATTAGCATTAGTGATAGTTCCAGTAATGCAACAAGAAATAATATCAGAAGGATGCCCCTCTGAACTGTCAGGGATACTCAGCCCAAACACCTCACTGGTAGAAGCATCAACAGAAGATTCATTTCTGGCAGCAGATGAGGTCCTCAAAGATGCAGAACAAATATGCCCTCTCTTGACACCTACACAAGGCTTAACTTTATCATCAGTATCCAACACTGATGGAGCTTCAAAGGAATGACTAAATTTTCCTTCTATATGAGAATCATTATCATACATCTCACACTGGTTTTGTGACGCTGATTTCTCACCAAAGTCACCATTCTCATTTGAATACACAGTTGTAACTGGGGACCGACACTCATCCTTGTGACCTTGTCTCCAATGAATTATTTGGCACTTGCTAGAACTACAACAATGCAAATATAGAAATTAATACTGTAGAAGGGAAGAGAGTCGACATTTACAATGACAGCAACAATGCTTACTATTCATAAAGGAATTAGCAAAAACACAAAAGACTGTTGACTAAAATATACCAAGGTCATGCTGTTCAAGAGCATGCGGACATGTAAATATAAAGCAAACAAAATTTCAAGCAACCCAACTTTTGCATGATCAAGAAATGTGAAACCTTTAATATCCACACTAACTGCCACTATGTTGTTAAGATTTTAAATAATAGAGTGAATTTTTCTCAATCACACAAGATTTTGAATATAAATGACTAAATATATCATCGCAAAAGAAAGGGAGAGGTAAGGCCTAATTACACTTGGCTCCCTTCAGTTTTCTTTTATCACACTAACCTCCCTTCCCATTGACAGAACTCAGCTTATATTAGTGTTGTGTGAAATTACTCAAGTAACCTATATTATTATATTAGTTTCTCTAATCATCACATTGTTATAAAAAATGACCATTATACCCCATGTACAAATGAGGGAACAAACTTATGGCAGGTTGTCTACTCATTCACTTCTTCTGAGCCTTTTCATTTCAGAGAGAGAGAGAGAGAACCAATCGTCTCTCAACCCATTTCAAGAATATTGAATCACAGAACAGTAAAAAGCACCTTCCACTATCTCTTCTCACATATATATACATATACACTGCGCTTTTCAACTTGAACACCATTCACAAACTCCAACTGCTTTCATCTCTCTCTCTCTCTTTCTAGAATCAAAGAATGGCACGAACCAAGCAAATAGCCTGCAAGTCCACTGGCGTTAAGGCACCGAGGAAGCAACTGGAGGAGTGAAGAAGCCTCGCTGGTTCAGGCCGGGAACAGTGGCACTGAGGGAGATCAGAGGCGAGAGCTTGATTCCTCTAAAATGTTCTGGTTTTGGATCGTAACTTATTTTTAAGGGTTTGTATTCATGTGATTGTAATCTTCCAATGCCAATGATGATGATTGAAAAATTGTGGTTTGTCCAAGGAAATTTTAGCAATGAGAGCTTTTGTTCAGATCTCTCTCTCTCTCTCCCTGTGTGCTTCGAATTTGATTGGCTTTTTTAGTTTTGGGGTATTTGATTAATGTTTTCAGCAAGACAGTCTTTTTTCCACCCAATTATGTAATACACTGTTTGGTTTCATGGGAAAATGTTATTGAAAAAACTTTCTAGGGAAAATCAATTTTATTTTATTGATGTTTATCCATATGTTAAAAATTGTTTACATAAAAAGTGTTCAAAGCCTCAAAGGTAGATGAACTCATGAAACATAAAAAGTTTCTAATTAAGTTATCAAATGATAGTGTTGCTGATACCTATTGCTCTATTAATTTTGTTTTAATATCCATAGGGTCTATTTACTAGCAAGTGGGTGGAAAAGAAGTACTTTTCACTGCTTTGTGATTCATTCTTTTCTATAGCTATGCCAATAGATGCATGAAAATGACCTTATTGATGATTAAGAGTCATTAGTATTGAATTGATCTGGTGAGGAAGACGTTTTAGAGAGAGAAACAAACCTTATTTTAGAGAGAGAAAGTAGTTAGATGGATAAAGTAGGGTTCATATATATCTCTATACATAGGACATGTAACATTGGAAGGCTTTTTTGTCTTCCTATTAAGGGTATATAAGTAATTTTAAATCAAAAAGTGAGGGTGCAAATGTCTTTGCAACTACTACAAACTGAAAATTTGCTGACATCATCAAAATTCGTGGTTGACCAGGGTTGACCATTAACAGAGGGGCAAAGTGTGATGATGGAGAACACCTCAAGGGAGGACGGTGTAATTTTTTGAAACTTAGGGAGGCATGTGTAATTAAGCTTAATCTTAGGGTAGGTTTGTGTAACTATCCCTAAAAGAAACTAAGCATCTATATATAATAAGGATGAAGAGTCCTTCACACATAGGAAGCCAAAACCAACCCAACTAAAAGAAATAAGACACCAAGCTCCTATGGATAATATATTTACCCTAGAAAAAGAATTAATGAATTAGCACCTCATTTACTTTTAATATACTTTTACTTATCAAAAAATAATAATAATAATTAAAAAAATAAAAATAAAAACCTTATCAAAAATTAAAAATTAAAAATTAAAAATTAAAAATTAAAAAGAATTAGCACCTCATTTAGCCAGAAAAAGTAAATAAGCCGTTCTTTCATTCGATCATTCATCAATCCAAGGACCTATTTAATTTATGCTTCTAAAGGTTTTTTAACCAAGAAACTAACAGCTTGAGAAGCTCTTGATGGGTGATATAAACATTTCATTAAAAATAGATAACATGAATTTTGTCTTAAATGCATCAAGAGCTTGTTATCTTGAGGAATAGAATTCTTTTGGGTCAAAGTGTAATCAGTAATGCAAACAGAACACAAAATGAAAAAGAGGACTGCACAATCTATAAAATATATCTTTCTTTCTTTCTTTGAAAAAGATTGCATATGCAGAAGCAGCAATGCCGATGGGTGGAAAGAGAAGTGTCTTATTCCAGCTTCAGAGAGTAGAAAAGGGAGAATCATAAGCACACCCCCTTGTCACAACAAAGGAAAGGAAAAGAACAACAAGTAGAATGTGGTTCAAATGGCTTCTTCTCATATATTTATTCATTATGTTGATATGTTGATCGGTGTTAATTTGCTCTGCTTGCGGAGCGGCATGCTGAAAAGAAAAGTGTTATCGGATTTGAACAACTGAGTTTTATGCATAACAACACTCCTCTTTGGGAGCTATGTTTAAGATCTTGGTGGTCTTGTGAGTGATTGTTATGACAACGCAGCAAACCCAAGAAACGCGACAGAAAAGATAAGCATACCACAAACAAAGAACACAAAGATTTAGTGTAGTTCGGCAAAACCTACGTCCACGGTGAAGATCCGACAAAAGCTTTCACCATGACAAAAAACAAGAAATTACAAATTTCAACCCCAAACCTTTGCTCTCGCTCTAACTCTCTTTTCTGCGATTTTCAATCTCTCTCCATGTCCCACTCCAAACCCAAAACTCCCTTATATATCGGGCTACAAGAGAGTAATAATTAGCGTCCACGACCTGTAACCAAAAACAAGTCAAAATCAACGGGTCGTCAAGTCGAAAACAGGTCGCAACACGACCCGAAACCAAATTCGGACCACAACATCACATGTTTGATAAACTGCAATTGCAGTTTTCTTGAGGAAGTCTAACAGTTGTGAGGCTTAACGAATAATAAAAACTTCTTTATTATTATATATATATATCTTTTTTATAATTTTTTATTATATATATATATATATATATATATATATCTTAAGTTTTTACTAAAGTAACCTAACTTACTCACCAATTGGCTTTTACTTTTTTTTTTTTTTTTTTTTTCTTTTTGTTGCACGTCAATCTTCCAATTTTTTTGGGGGTTGCTATTTATTTTGTTATACAAATAGTTATTGGGCTTAGGCTCACAATAAAAAAATGCATAAACGGGGTGGGCATGGGTTCACTTATCTTCCAACAGGGTGGGTATGGGTTTTGACAAATCAACCCTTCCCGGGTATGGAATTCTCATTAATTAAATGGGGGAGGGTATCAGTTTAGGCAAACCGGTGCCATACCCACCTCGTTGCCATCCCTAGTTACAGCCAACCCACCAAGCTACTAGCATTGGTAAATGCTCCGCTACGAAGCAAGCTCTCCCGAATACGACAAATGCAGAAGTGGATTGAGGAGAAATTTAGTTCCAAACCCCATTCAAACAGGCGGAGTATGTCATCCTAATGTGCTTTGGATGATCCACATCACTGGATGAGGCGTTAAATCCTCACAGTTTAGGCACAATGAAGCCATTATCAGAGGCGCGCTCTACAACTAAGCAAATAGACCTCCATGCGAGCCTCACACTAGAGGCCACTATACCAAAAGCGAGAGAAACCCCATCCCTCTATCTTCTCTCCCATTTCTCCACAAGGAGAAGGTTAAGTACATGGCAATAACCAAGGACCTTATAGCTTGATGATACTTCCTCACCTTCCAAAGTAGAAGGATGAGGGTTCAAGTTCCATAGGGCCAAAAGTGGGTGTGTGATTGTGCTTCTTGCCAATGAAAAAAAAGTAAATGGCAATAACAAATTTAAAGTCTGCTGAAAGAAGCAATTGTAACCCGTTCCAAGAGAAAAATAAATGAGAAAATTATATTTAAAACCCAAGTTTTTTTTTTTTTTTTTTTTTTTTTTTGATATGTAAGAAATGCATTGAAAGCACTCAAAAGGGGAACGCATCCCAAAAGAACAACACAGAGCCAAAAAAACAGCCCTCTAAGCCTTCAAGGATGAAACTTTGCTTAACGGTAGAACAAGTTAAAGAAACAAGAATTAGAATGCAAAGGTTGAGCCACTTTTCAATAAAAATCGTTTTGCCACTCTTTTAACTGTTAGGACAGTGTATTGTAGTTTTGTTACCATGAATGCTCTTTCTTCTCGAAGCTATCAGCTATGGCAATGAATTTGGCTGGGATTACTATACTTTGGTTTTGAACTGAATTTGTGCGATCAAAATCACTTTCAGGGCTTTGTGGCTGAGCCATTGGAAGAGACTTATTCTTGCTGACTCCCTCCCTCCAGACTCGTTGTTGGAGACAATTTAAAACCCCAGTATTTAAAACCCCAGTATTTAGCTTATTACCATCATAAAGATGCACAAACATAATTAAAGACATGGCATGAAAGAATGAAAAACCAAGGATGAAGGATCAAAAGTTGTTCAAAAGAAGTTTGGAGCTTTAGAATCCGAGTAGAAATGAAATTCATATGGAACTAATAGAAAAAGGACCCGCATCAAAAGTCATAATATTATGAACCAATTGATGTACAGTGGACCATAAAATACCATCAAAACTCTTGAACATTCACGACTATGTTTCACAATTTAAATTTGATAACACATCTAAACTCAAGAAGACGATAGAAACTAATGCATCTTTTCAAGAAGACGATCGAAACTCATGCTGCAAGCAACAAACAATTTTATATCCCATTTCCTTCCTATCATTTCTTAAAAATAATATAATCTTCAACCATCAAATTTCAAAAAGAACCACAACAAACATTCGCCACTATTGTCTGAAATCATCTACAGACTATCGAGATTGTTCTTATTTCAGCTAAAACTCTAACACACATGAACATCAACTGACAGTAACATTTGTAATTTCAAAATAATAAAAGATAAAATTATGCATGTGTGTGCATCAATTCAAATTAGAAGAATTCCAAAATAACGCACCAGTATCGAACAGCCTTGCACTGCGAGCACCGGGTAGTGGTAGGGCAATAGCACACGGCGCACTGATAAGGCTTCGCGACTGGAATCGAGCCGTATTCGACCACGGAATCGAGCTCGACCATTTCCGCATCTTCAGAGGCCATAACCACAAGCCTCATTATCTCCTCCTTCCTCGCCACCGCATTCCTCCACTTCTGGCGGATTACGAGGCTGATGCTCAACACGAACACCAATACGATGCCCGGAAACCCTAGACTGCCGGGTAACAGCATCTAACCGGGGCCGAGGATGAGTCCGGAACAGAGAAACCCTAGAATCCTTATTTTGCTATGCATAGGGTCAGTGACACTGGTGGTGGTGGTGGTGGTGGTGGTTGTGTTTCTGCATAAAATGTGCAATTGATTGCCTAATTTGGCTGTTGATTGATCAACGATGGTGGCGTAGATCAGTAAATGGCTATGGATGTGTGTGTTTGGTGTGTGAGAGAGAATGGGGAAGAGAGAGAATGGAGTTAGGACATCACTGTAGTACTAGTGTTTGTTTGCTGGTCTTTGTCTGTTTGTAGCGATCAGCATAAATACAAGCTTTTTATCGCAAAATGGTGGTTTTACTTTTCCAACCATTATTCAGTGTTTGGCTGGCTTTGGAAAAACACTTAGCCGCAAGTTTTTTATCACATGCTCACAAGAAAATTTAATTATGTCTTCAACTAAAAAAAAAAAATCAAAAAAATATTAATTATGTTATGTTTGGAGCACCAATTGGTGGAATAGATTTGAAACTAAATAAATTTTAGTTCAAATTTTGTATTAAATGTTTTCTAATTTCAAATTTTAAGTGGTCAATTCGGTGTCCTCAAGTATTATAATTTACATGGAAAAAACAAGAGAGGGATTAATCAATTTTTCTGAAGCCCTAGCGCTAACTACATTTTTTTTAATTTCAAATTCAAGGTCGATTTGGTGCTCCGAAACGTAATGCAAGTGAATTGCATAGTGTTACTTGATAAACTGAAAATTAAGTACTGAAAATTTAAGAACTATATTTTAAGTGCTACAATTTTATTAAAATTAATAATTTTATTTGATCTTTTTTGTATTGTAAGTGTTCAACATTCAATTATAAGTAAAAATCACTTTCACTTAAAATTTGGACAATTATTTTTATTTTTATTTTTTTCTTGACAAACAAACCAATACCCAACAAGGGATTATGATGAGCACTGAAAAGTGCGCATTTAAACCTCTTAAGTTCGAGTATTGTAGGACATTTACCTATCTTATTTTCTCGTTTTAGAGTAATTTCGTGTTATTGCCCTTTTCAGGCGTTTATCCCCAAAATAAGTCAATTCAGCCAAATTATAGCATAAAAGAAGCAATCTCAAGCTGAATGGAAGAATGGAGCAAAGTGGTGGAAATCAACAAGTTTCGATTAATCAAGAATATTTTCGATCAATCTCACATTGATAGATCTAGCCTTGCCAAGATGGATTAAAACCCCTTGTCCTTATCCTCAAGAATTTCCATTTTCGATCGATCGAACTTTCTTCAGATCGATCGAACTTCCTTGATCTTATCCCCACCTACCACTTTTGTCTTTTTCCCAAAATATCTCAGATTTGTCTTATTCTAAAAAGGCACCGCCAAGGATTGATCGATCTGGCCTTACTTCAATGGATCTAGCCAGAGTTCGATCGATCTCATCTGAATTCGATCGAACAAACCTCCTCAAGTCCGAAATAATACAGAGTCCAGCTCATTAAAAGATGGCTGGTGGTGCAATCATTGAGAGGACCCTAGTGCACGAGACCTGACCATTGGGTGTGACACTTGAGCTACCTATATGAGGATTTTGAGCCATTTTTACATCATATTTCAAGAATTCTCATATCATATCATCATATCTATCTTGGAGAGGAGGCTAGAAATTAGAGAGACATACACTATTTGGGAGTTCTTCCATTCTTCTAGGGTTTCCTTCAAGAAGAAGATCATTCCTACCATGGAGATGGCCCTTGAGGGTTGGATGACTACATCAATGAGTGGCTAAACATCTTCTTGGGGCTAGAGTTAGCCCTAAGTATGCCTTCTAAACCTTGATGTTTTGTATTTTGAAGGGATTTGTATTGTAATCTTGTTTTGACATTTGATTTATATATGAATCTTGTTTTTACTATAATTTGTGTTGATTAATACTTCCAATTAATCATTTCATTCTATCCATATGTCTATGTATGCTAGAATAGATATTCATGTGTTTATCTCTTGGTTTTGTGATATTGATGCATGCCTATTTGTATTGATGCTATGAATCTAGATATTGTCAAGGCATAGTGCTTAAATAGAATACTCTTGTGATTTGTTTAATGGTTCATACTCATTTCTTGATGGATTGTGCCTCTTCCTTAGTTTAGTTAGTTTAATTTTCATGTCATTAGCTTAGATGTAGTGTAATTGCCTTATTTTCTTAGATGCGAGGACAATCCATGCTTATTGTTTGATGTTTCATACTTATGAATACAAGTAGTATAATTCTCTAACTTGTTAGTGTGTTGATTGTGAGCTTAAAAGAAGGAATAATGATTTAGTTTGTTATATTGTGCTATTCACTAGGTTGTCTAGACAATATATACTTAATTAGTCAATCCATGCTTGTTGATTCAATCAATCACACCTCTTTGTATTCCAACACATATTTCCCTGCATACATTACACATTAAGTATCTAGAATGGTGATGTTTAGTGGTGACCTCTAGATCCCAAGACCTCTCTATCTTGTTCTCTACCCTTTATTTTATTTTAGTTGCTTTGTATTGAATTTATTTACATTGTAGTTTAATTAACCAAACAAACCTTCTTTTGATCATTCGACCTACTAATCCGACCTTGTTTCCATTTCAAGCACGCACCCAATCCCTTAGGACGATCCCTACTCACCTTAGCTATATTAGTAGTTAGAGTTAGTAGTGGCACTTTATAAATTTAAACTTGGCCACACTTTTATTGCAACTTTGGTGTACACACGCGACGACCCACACCAGATTACAATTCAATATGTATCTCCTGAGATATCCTTGAGAGCACAACATAAGATACGGCTTGGAATATGCTCTAAGCAGTATCATTGATAGATATGCATTTGGAAAGGTTGGCCACATTGTGAGCAACCTCTTTGCCATGTCGCTATACATGGCTAATACGAACCGAGGAAAACTTCCTAAGCCCATCCTTAATATCAAATAGCCCTGATTGAAGTTCCACTGGACATTGGTTTTCACTCACCATTGTAGCACAAACAAGTGGAGAATCTGATTCTAACCATATCGTTGTGGTTTTGTGGAGTTTGTTATTTGGTAACTTCAGTTTCCTGATCTATTTTAACTTTCTTATTGGTTTTGGATTCTACAAAAGGCAAGTTTTTGTAGGACAAGTTTAAGACTTTATATATATGAACTCTAATCAGATTTTAGGGTGTGGAGAAAAGTGAGAAGAAAAATGAGAGGATCATCATACGTGTTGTATGATTGATTAATTTGTCCCAACACAAGAGATAACAATTGGGAGAGATTAATTTATTCGATGCACTCTATGAACGTAGCCCTAAGATTTGGGTGAAACATGTATATCTTGTGTTCTTGTGTGTGATTATTTTTTATTCTTCGTGATTACTTGTTTATTCCTTGAACATCGTTGTTTATTTTGTGTTTCCGCCACAGTAGCTGGTATCAGGTATCAGAGGATTCGCTCCGACAACTGGTATTTGATAAGCGCCGAATATTGCATATTTAAGCGCCCTTATTTGCATTAGTTAAGTCCATTAGTTGATCATATTGTATATATTAGTTTCATTTGCATGTTTTTGTTTACTTTCAGGTTGGTTCCCCAAAGATAGTTAAAAATGAGGCCTTGATGAGTTTTTGAAGAATCAAAGCATGCCGTTGCCGCGGACCTTCATTTTGGCCAAGCCAGTGATCCATTAAACTTATGGTTATCCCTACAAAAAGCGCTAAGGAGGATGATCGCATCATTGGGCCAAGCAAAGATCAGTTCATGAAGCAAAGTGGTAACCAAGGCTGCTGCATTGTGGGTGTCCGTCATGCACCTGCGGGCGCCTGCCAAAACTCCCAAAAACTTTCAAAAAATGCGGGGTCCCGCCAAGCATTGCGGGCCCTCGTCGTGGCCGCCACCAAGCCGCCATGACACCATGCGGGCACCCGCCATTCTGCAGGCAAGAGATCATGGCCCTCTTTATTTCACCTAATGTTATCCCCTTTATTGAGGGGATTACTCTGCACTTCTCTAGGGATTTTGGGCCACAAATTTAAGGTGGTTGGAAGGCTAAGGTTGCTAAATAGAAGGCTTAAACCATGTAATAAATATATCTCATATTGTAAGGGGTTCTAAAGAGAGAAATATTGTGTTCTTGAGGGTGTGTGTGTATTGTGGCTTCTAGGTGCTAAAATAGAGGGTAAGATCACCTCTTCGCCTTCCTCCTTTGCTTCTATGAGTAACTAACTCCATTTCTAGGGAGGTGATGAAGCCCTTCCTTGTAAGCATGCCTTAGTTTTGGTTTATTTTGGGGAATGAAATATATGTATGGGCCAAGTTCATCATTTAGAGCTATACACATGTTGTAATGGATATTAATGTTTATAAATGATCATTTTGAGTTTATTATCTTGTCTTAGATTGTTTTCTCTCATGATCATATGGCTTGCATTTTCATAATGACAATGGAAATGAGATTGTGAAATAGTTTTAATGGCATGTTTAAGAAATTTGATAGTCCATAGCTTAGGGCTTTCCTTTGATGGACTATTCTTGGTTTTTAACTTCATGTGCTTTTATCATTTGATTGAGGGTTTGATAATCTCTAGCTTAGTGAGCATGTGTAAGGCTACACCCTAGTTTAGGTAGTTCAAGCATGTAAAACTTTGATAGATTATTCTTGCATATTGATTTCATGAATTTCTTAAAGATAATGTATCAATTTTGTATTGTTACGTATCATGGCCACTTATATATGTTGTTTCCCCAAGTTAATCACATTCTAGCATGTTTATATGGTAGTTAATGGATTCACTTCCCTAGCCCTCTTGACATAAATCTTTCTCCTTTAAATTCCTTGCATTTATTGTTTATGCACATTTTAATTCCAAGTACCAAGTGACAAACCAAACAAAACCTTACACCTCTTTCATCAAACTAAGTGATTTTTAAAGAAATTTGTTGCCATAAACTTGCAGTCTTTGTGGTTTGACTTACCCCTATGATAGCCCTATTTTACAATGATTTGTGCTATTGCAAGGGTTGATTATAATTAACACCCATCAATTTTTGGCACCGTTGCCGGGGACTGCAAACGGTTTCGTAACCGAGGTTCAAGGATTAACTTTGGTTTGATTGTGAATATTGTGTCTTGTGGATATTTTCTTGTTTGGTTTCAGTAATATTGTGTTTTAAGTATTCTCATGAGTTTCTAGGGACTCAAGGCTTGCCGAGGGAAAAACTGAAAATTTCGTAAGTCTAGAGGACTCCAGGTAAGTTTTTTGAAGTTCTAGTTCAA